TCTTGCCTTATTCATTAACTTGCTATTCATTTGTGTGGTTCTCGAATCACACAACGCACTAAAAACCACTTTTTAAAACACCAAAAAAAACGTTTTTTCTAGTTTTTTGTGAATATGGTAGGAATTTTCTTTACTATTTGCACAGCAACGAACTATCCATACTGGTTTTTGCTTGGTTACACATCAGTGTGCTACAAGCTAGTAGCTGGTTTAGAACCTGAGTAGTACCTAACCGTACAAGACAAAGAGTCCACTGTGGTAATCTTCTAAATTATTTTTGGTCAACTAACGCTAAAATTTCCCTACGGGCGTCTCGGGCGCTAATATAGTTGTTTCCGGTGTAATCTAGCGTTACTTATTAAACGGACAGTGGTCTAAAAAAAATAAAAATTGAGCTTTTTAGTGTTGAATATATGCCTCACACTGATAAAAATTGTAACAATTTTCGATCATTTTCACTCGTTCAATACAAAAATGAAATTGTTCCAAAACAATTTTGAACAGCGACAACAAAAATCTTCGAATGATTCGAAGGAGGCAGAAAAAATATTCCAACGTTTAGCACGGTCATAGACTGGAAACAATTCGTCGACACAGAAAAAAAACAAAAAAGAGATAAATCTGCGCAAAAATACAATGTTATTATGAAATTATCCACACTTTTATTGTATGAAATTGACTTTTAATTTAGTTGTAGATCTTTTTATCAGGAAAAAGGTTGTGGCATGTTTTGGCATAGATATAGGCAATTTACTGTAGGGTCAATTGAAATGACTATTCAGAAATTGAATGCAGACAAAAGCATAACTGAAATATTAGAAGGCATCCTCTGCATCCGTGATTCTATGGACGAATCTTCGGCCTATTGATATTTTTTCGTTCATTTTAAATCATCTTACAAAAATCATCAGCAACCTGATCAGAGCTATGCAGAGCTATGCTTGGCGTTTTTAAATCGCGTTGCAAGTGTTTAACGTCACGCTTGTGAAAGCAATGTCACGCTTGCATAAGCAATGTCACGCTTGCAATAGCAAAATCACGCTTGCAATAGCAATGTCACGCTTGCAATAGAAAAATCACGCTTGCAATAGCAATGTCACGCTTGCAATAGCAATGTCACGCTTGCATAGCACTTTCACGCTTGCAATAGCAATTTCACGCTTGCATTAGCGATGTCACGCTTGCACTAGCACTGCCACGCTTGCAATTACAATGTCAGGATGGCAATATCCACTGCAAATGAAATAAACAAGAAAGTTGCCATAAAATAAATTTTTCTTAGAAAATGTAAGCCTGTCCGAAGCTGGAATTACTTGACTTGACATCTGTAGAGTTTTTAAAATATAAATTTGTAAATTATGTCGGTCAACTTCGGCTTTATCCAAATTTTCAGTAAACTTTTGGCAGTTTTTGTGCATATGAAAAAGACAAGAATAAAAAACGATGCGTAAAAAATTGAATGAATTTAAGTAAATAGTGAAATTAGATTAGGAATAATTGTTAAAATTCATTCACTGGTCTGTAAATAGTGCTGCGTCTGTACAGTTTTTTTTCGAAACGGAACTTTTTGAAACATTTTTTCCGAATTCGGATTGAAAAAACTTTTTAAATAAAAAAGCCTTAAATTTACCTGACGATTAACTTTGGACTAGTTGATTTTGGGTTAGAAAAACTCAAAAACTTTTTTTCTTAAGTTTTTAAAGCTGACCACAAAAAAACGTTTTTCAAAGAGTCTCCTGCACAGTAAAAAATTTGCTTGAATGAGTAGACATTGAGAGATCAACCGAAAGTAATAGACAGAAATACAGGATTATTCGAACATTTTTGAGATCTACCATTTTCTCGAGGGAGAGGATTAAGAACAAACTCAAATATGTTTGAATATATTTTTAGTTTAAGTGAAACATACGTTTTCAGAGCTCTCCTGAAACGCTATGGAGACGAGACCTTTTTTCGACAAAAATTGCAAAGAAAATGGATGAAGTTTATTGGAGCTAACGAATAACCTCCAAAACAAACAATTTTTGTAAGCTTTCCAGGCAATGCTAAGTCATGGCTCATTTTTAGAAATTAATTTAAAATTGGTCAGCCGAAACTTGAAGAAGGCTGTTAGATAGTCTCTAAACTACCAATTGCAGCATAAAAATAAATACGATACAAACCACTGGCGATACAAAACAAATGACTGTGATTAAAATCAAAGGCAAAGAAAAATAAAAAAACTGATAAAAAACTTTCAAAAATCGCAAAACACAAGAGCTCCGGAACAAGGTAACTTGCACCATAAGAAACTCTAGAAGGAGCTTCCGGAATACTAGAAAGAAGCCGACCTTTAAAAAATCCTTTCTGCGGGAAATAAGCCGGAAAAATACAGAGGCGAAGCTGTGCTTCGCAAACACTGCCGAGAACAAGACCAAAGATCAGCTCTATCAAGTGAAATAAGAAAAAAGTAGTTATAAGCCTCGAGTTACCAAAAATTCAGCTACGTGTAGGATCCGAATCTGCAACATACTGCAATCAATAGACTTTGAGTCTCATGCAGCCACTCAATTCTAACAACCGACAAACACTACTCGCGAATAAAGCACTCAGCCACTCAAGCTTAAGTCAGCCAAGCAAGCTTAGCAACCGACAAAAATTGGTCACGAATAAAGCAGCGACGTATGCACAGCCATGCAAGCTTAACTCAGCCACGCAAGCTTAAAAACCAAGAAACACTAGTCACGAATAGATTGCCAATGCGATTCAGCAAAAATGGCAACAAATACAAATTTAGCATGTAACAAATTGCAAAGCATAAAACCAAATTATGTATAAATAAAGCATTTCAAAAAAATGCGAGATACATTGAGCTAGAAAATTTCTGAAATCGAGTTTTTTTAATGTACTTTTGTTCGAAAAAAAAGATTTCTTTCGGTTCATTTGATGAATTAAAATCGCATCAACTGGGTTAACTTATTACTAATTGAATGTCAAAGCACATGCTATGAAAAAGCTGTTAAGGTGTCCCAAAAGCGGCACCAATATTTGCGAATTAGGTTGCAGACAGTTCCTTCTAATACACTCGCTTCGCAAGTGCAAATATACCAACAAAAACCTAAATTAGCCAAAAATTTGCGTTTGCAAAAAAAAAAACGAGTCCCGATTGGAATCGAACAAGCATCAATTAGAATCGAAAAAAAATTTAGTAACCGATTGCAATAACTTTGCTTAACACAAGTGTAAATATTTTCATTCAAAAAAAGTTTCTGGAATTATGTGAAAGTACGACCTACTAGGTACTTTCAGGAAAAAATAGTCCGTTCTTATAAGATTAAACTGGACTAAACATTTATTAAGATAAGCGTCAAAACGTCAAACAAGTAAAAAACTGACTAATATAAAAATGTCCTGACGAAGAGGCGCTTGCCTTAACCAACGTTCCAAGCAGTCCAGGAAACATTCATCAGAAACTTGGTATCGTTTAGCCAATATGATGTTCAAAATTACAAATTAGATACTGTGCAAAGAAATTGATAAGTGAATGTGGAATTTTACAGCCAAAAAATGGCTTCATAATTCAAGGAAAGTTCAGCTTGCTCTAAACATGATGCAAATAATTATAATATACAGGGCGAATTTGCATTTAACGACCACGAGCAATTCCGCACTCAGTAAAACGAGAAAATAATAGATGATAATGGATTTTTACTGTCAGTCTCCATAAATTTCAAAAATAATTGATTATAATCGATTAAAGATGGATTATGAAGTTACTATTTTTCGAAACAATAAAAATCATTTTAATCGTTTGTAATCGATTATTTTTTGAAAAATTTTTCCTCAATTTTTTTTTGAATTATAACCCATTTTAATGGAACTTATTCCATTATTATTCAACAATTGTATAATCGCTTCATTTCGTTTTTTTTTTGTTTTGTTTTGTGTGCTTTTCAGTTGGTTACCGAACTTAAAGATACTGTAATTTTGAACTTATAGCCAGGGGCGGTTTTAGGGGTGGGAGCAGGGGTTTCTCTTTGAACTATCTTGAGATATATATTTTTGGTGACGGAGCCTAAAAACTTTCTAAAGGTGCCTTTGGCGCCAAGATTTATTAATTTTCAGGGAAGAGAGCGCGCCAAAAATCGCAATTTTTAGATCAAAATTTTCCACAAAAAATTGTATAAAAACGCCTTTTTTGGCCTGTTTTTTATAGTTTTGCCTGCGGCCCAGAAAGTTTGATCAAAATGGGGTCGTTATAGTGAGTGAGGAATGCTCATAAAATCAATTTGGTCAACCTAAAAAAAATGTCGGCAGAATTTTCGAAATTTTTTTGAAAATCCGCCCCCCTCCCCCGAGAAAGTCCTGGCTTAAACTTGGATTCAATTTAATTTTTACCGTGTTTTCATGCAGAACAGCTAAATTATAATCCATTATGAATGATTTTTTTGAGATTCTAAGAGATTTGAATTTATATTCCCCATAGTAAGGCATCAAAAAGAAGAAAAAGTTTGTCATAATTCATTTAAATATCTGAGCCGGTTCCTTGACAATCTATCCTATGCCATTCTAGCCTTATCAAGACGATTTTAGAATTCAAGTTTTGCGGCCTAAATACCGTCCGTATCGATTGCAATTTTGCGCTAGTTTATATGCAAAAAAAACTGAACGTTGAGTTTCACGGAAAATTTTCAACTTAGGGTGGAAAAATGCGTCATGTAACACACGCTTTTGTTTGCGTAGACAATCATTTGATGAAGACCTGCTCACAAAACCTGTATCCCTTTCTGAATCTCTTAATTGACCGCATTATGGTCATTTAAAAAAAAAATCCTTGTTGTTAATCGGCCAATTAAAAGATACAAGCATTGTTCTTAAATGCTCGACTGCTTTAGCATGCTTTAATGCAAATTTGAAGAAAATTACAAATCTAATGGCTGATTCTAGGCATGCAGAAGTTTCCAATTCATAGTCCGTAGAAAAATCAAAGTTCTCTCTGAGGGTTCCTAAAACAAAACTAGTAATAGTAGAAAAGTATAATTTACCAATCGCATTACATTAATGACTGACTAAGTACTAAAAAGTCTATGTAAAGTAAATGACGAGGTCAGTCTATATGCGGATCAAATCAAACTGGAGATCGATTTTGTAAGTTTTGTTGAAATTTGTATGTTGCATTCAGATAGTGTTGCTCTGCCAAGCGGCGATGAATGATGATTGGTGGCAGCAAAATTGGCATCAAATCCAGGGTCGTTTAGTCGAAACAGGCCATTATTATAAGACAATTGCGGCAACAAAAAGCAGCCGAGATGACTAAATATATTGCAGATATTGTGTTTCTTTTTGTGCTTACGATGCGACAAAAGCGGTGTCGACATCAAGCTGAGGAATTGGGCCCATACATATGCAAGGGCGAAACTTCAAGTATCAATGAAAAAATAGGCGAAGGGGGGTCCAGGCATCTCCATGGTTACAGTGGAGGGGGAGGGTCACCAATACATGGACCTGGCGAGGTAGTTGACGGTTGCTGTTAGCCACGTGGTCTGTTGTCCTGGCCCGTCCCCTTGGACTCGCACAGCGGTCGTTGGATCTTCCACTTCGGGGTCGTCTTCTGGTAGATAGTCTGGCATCGGACTTGCAGGCCTACAACATAACCACAAAATTGAACAATTAGAGCAAAACTTTCAGTTCTTAATAATTGAACAATATTAAGAACTATACGGAACTTTAAAATGCGTACTATGAGGAATATAGGAACCAGTTGTTTAATAGGAACTTAAAGGCTAATTTTAAAAGAAAAATTTCGACAAAAATGAAGAAAAAATTAGTTCAAATAACTTTCGGCCAAAACTTTCTTGTTTGCAAATATGCTCTACATTTAGCAAAACAAATTAGCTGCAGGAAAACAAATTAGCTGGATTGTATAAATATTGCATTAGAAATTAAATTCTAACACAGGCGAAGCAGCACATCATTGTGAACACAAGCGAGAAAACGGCAAAAATAGTTCTAAAAAGTGAAATAAGAAAGAAGCTACAACTAAGCCTTGAAAAATAAAAGTTTTGCTAGTGCTGGAATAAAACCCCAATTTGTTCTATTGACTCTCACGTCCTCTTATCTGCATCACGGTCGCTTGCGAGTTGATCTAGAAAAACTGTGGATTCTCAATACATTGCGATCGCTAGCTGGCTTGAGTAAACATTGAAACTTCCTTCAAAATATCTCCAATCAGTTTTAGAAAAATTTCTAAAAAATATACTGCCGGCAAAGTAATTTGAATTTATCAGTTACCAGACACTAGTTTTGAGATATGTTATTTGATTGAAACTTTAGAACAAATCCGAAAATTCAACGAACGTTGACACGATAACAGCAAATTCTTCCTTAACCAGAAAATTTTTATTTCGAAAGTAAACGTCTTAACCCGACTCGAATCAGTCGCCCTTTCGCTACCAATCATTAACGTTCATCTAGGCGAAATGGATGACATATCCCCTTCCTCCCCGACGGTTGGTCTTGCACTTAACCCTCGGCTGGAGTAGGAACGGGGTTTAAAAAATCTTTAAAACAAAAAAAAAACGTTCATCTGCCTCAAATGTGCAGATTGAAGTGCTCGGCATGGTGCGCATTGTTACTAAGGATAAATGTGTGTGTGAATGTACTTATTTCCAGCAGATTGTATTTCGAATCATACTAATTCTCTAAGATCATGGAACATTTTTCATATCACGAATGTACTTATGTTTATCATCTTAAGATGCCTGTAATCTCAGTTCTTGAAAGTATTTCACTCCACTCTACCACCAGGTTTTGACTAGAATTTAAAATAACAAACAATATTGGTTGTTACCTTGAAAGAGCGAATGTGATGTACTCCTCTTCGCCCTTCGGTCCCTTCACAATCTGCTGTGGGGAGGGGAAGCCCGCCTGGGCCAGACAATGTGCCACTTCCGCAGCTCCCAACTCCGGCCTCGCCCGCATCACCGTCCTCTGTTTTCCAAGGTCAAATGTGAAACTGACGACTCCGTGTAGAGAACAAAGGGCCTCGTGGGCTTGCTGCTTGCTCTCTTTATCTAGACCTTCCACGTAGAAGACCATGTTGCGAGCTCGTTTAGCCTTCTTCACAAAGGGGGAGGAAGAGGCGGAGGATAGATCGACCCCACCTGCTCCGACTGAGAGGGAATTTGGCGAGGGGGAAGACTGCATTTTGGATGCCATTGCCGCTCTACTCATTCCCCTATTTAATGCAACATATGAGTCAAATCATCTTATCCTTGTTGCAAAATTATTTTTATTCGTTTACTCGGAATTAAAACGTAATAAAATAAATACCACAATTGTACGCGTAGCTCGAATTGACACCTTAAATCCATTTGACCCCTTAAGGGCTTTGTTGAGGTATTCAAAATCAGGAAAAGCCACCTGAAGTGATCGAAACTAACACTAATGACAAAGCATATGCCCGATTTTGCCAAATTAACGACTTTTGCTTTGCAGGAGTAGCCGATTGCTGTGCAAGTAGCACTGAATGTTCCAACCTTAGACCAAGTGAACAATCTCCACCCTAAATCAATTTAGGAGGGGGACTGTTCACTTGGTAAAAAGTAAAATTGATCATCCAATCAGATTTGAGCATAGCACACTTTCGCTGTTCAATAGTGGAGATTTCCTTCCTTTTAACGAAGGAAATGAACTGAAGTAAGCAATCGAAAGTCAAACCAGAAAAAACTACATTTGAGCCAAAAAGAAAAACAAAAAAAATCATCGCGATCTATATACGAGTCTGAACTACGTTCATCAATTCTTAAAAATTTGTACAAAGCTCAATTGAAGCGTCTGTTATATGATATACCACACGTCGCATTATGATGATTCCCCGTGAAAAAAAAACTGAAAACTAGAAGAAAAAAAACACCCTAATATGGTAAAAGACAAAGTTTGTCCTCATTTTCAGTGTTCGGAACAAACAGTTCAGAATATTAAATCAACCTACTAAATTCCATTATTTTAGTAACGTTTTTTTTTCACTTTTTGCAATCAGAGGGGAGGGATATAGTTAAAGTGTGATCCCCTGATGTTATTTTTAGGCTCTCATTTTGAAGATTCGACTGTTCCTGTGAATTAGAGACTCATGACATGTAGAATAAATTAGTATTTTTCGTGCAAGATAAATTAAAATCAGAATTACATATCAGTATCGTTTGAAGTGATCTACAGCTAAATTAAACACCTTGCTAACATGATAGGTTCTTTTGTTAAAAATTTGCTTACTTCGGCTAAGTACCACACCCAAGTAGTTATGATTTCTTTATTCTAGGAAAAGATTAACACTGAATGCTGCGTTTTTTAGTTAAACTCACCAAACTGTACTAAAACGCCAAATTACTGATAAATAAAAAAATAAGGCAACTGAAACAAAACAAAACTTCTTTATAATTAAGCAGTACTTTGGCCAGTTCTTTCTGCGCATAGGCAGGATACAATGATCGGACGGTCAGCAAGTGACAATTCGTAACAGGCGACGATTAGTCAAGCCATTAGCAAGTAGCTTGTTCCGCAGCACTTACATTATTGAGTGGGGGTGTAGCGATTAGCATGTGGGCCTATTAGCATGTGATAATTGCTTTAACTGCGAGTGCTTTCAGAAGAAAAACAAATTAGCCTAAATTTCCAAACAATTTCGAAACCCACTTGATTTGTTAGGGAGTTAAATTTTAACTTTCACCTATTTAAAAATTCGGCTGAGCGGACATTGCCCAAAATTTCAAATTTAAATAAACAAAACGTGAAATAGCGTATCTTGAAACTACTTTCTTTTCCATGGGCATGCTAATCGACACATATGCTAATAGGCGGTCCCCTTATTGAGTCACTATTTGCCGTTTAACCTTCTGTTACGAATTGCCACCTGACGGAATAAAATACAGTATGTCCGCTAACAAAACAAAGGTGCTAGGCCGGAGATCAAAGAATTGTTTTAAAAATCACCTTTCACATTTGCTAGCAACTGAACTGAGTAACAAGTATGCTGCTGCAATCTAATTTCAAATACCAATATCTAGCCAACTTTCTCATAATCAACTGATTGATTTTACAAACTTTGATGAAATTTTGTTCATGAAGATTAAATTGTCTACATTTCGTAATTGTCTACATGGAAGGGCCGCACATAACACTTCAACTATTACCTTCAAAAATAAGCGAACACTAACTTGTGTATGATTCCTGGCTGCATATTACGATTGTGCGTTGGAAGGCACCCTCCCATATCTAGCCGCGTGTGCAACTCAGCGGCCAATCTTCTGATCTCCGGATCATGTCTGCCTTTGGAACTACTACTAGCCAGAGACTGGAGCGCCGGAAGAAGTCCACACGGTGGCAGAGAGATGGTCCGCAAGGCCTGTCTGTCTGGAAGAGTGTCGCTGAGTTGGAGTAAAGTTAGGAGCGTTTCTTGGACAACCATGCTGTCATTGTGCTCCAAAAACAACACTAGACTGTCAATTGTGGCCTTGTCCTAGAACACATGAACAAGGATCAAAGATTATAACTAACACCATTCAGACACAAAAACGCTTCACTTCAGTTCGGTTGTTTTCCAACCTCGTTGGGATTAGAAGGTGATTGCTATTTTTGAACGCTATTATTTGGGATTCGAAGGTCTTTGCACTGCTCTTTTTGAGCAAAACCCAAAACCATTTGACCGTAAATTGTAAGTCTTCGCATTTTCATCGATCTAGAGAAAATTAAAAACTGCTTAACCTCCAATGATATTGGCCAAATTAGTACTCTGATATCATATTTTGTATTGTTTCTTCCAAAACTTTTATTTAACTTTCTTTTTACTCACAAAGAATCGAAAAAACTGATACCTGCCATATTACACTTACTTTCAGCACAGTTTGTCTGTGTTTTTCGCTCTCTACCAGCTGTTTTATGTCTCGTACTGCACTCACGCAACCCATGATGATCTCTCGAACAGATCGAAACCTCCGATGAGCTTAAAGCTTCACAATTTATTGCTCACAAGACAACTTATCTACGCTAAAGACAGCTAGACTGAAGAAGGCCTTGAATAAATTACGTTGTTGCGTTCGGTCAAGATACGAAAGTGTACGTTGCCATGATCAACGATTCCCACCAATATGCCGATGTCACTGACTATATTACTCAGTAATCGGTCAAACCGATTACTTGAGAAAATTGGTAGGGTGCAATCTCATCATCATCTGAAACAGCAACATATACACTTTTTTAAGATCATATGATTCTTTTTTAGAAATTTATTCATCCAATCACTTACGATGGTAGAGAGAATTTTGTCCAAAAGGGAAGATTTTAGTTCCCAATTTAGAGCATTTGAAATAAAAATTATTTAAACAATGTTTAAACAGTAATCAAACGCAAAAAAAAATAGCCAACAGAGGAGTAATCATTAGGGTTTAACCGTTTAAATACTAAAACAAGTTTCGATGAATAAATTTGATCAGCATCAATCAAATTCAGAGTTAGAACGTTATCAAAAAAGTAGTTATCTACTAGTTATTGCCATAAAACTGAAACAAACCGTTGAAGCTGCACTTCGCAAACTCATGCAAAAAACCCAAGTAGAAGCTTAAAAAAGACAGGAAAATAATAACACTAACGAGCTTTGAAAATAAATTTCCTCTACAAAAATCTAACCTCAGCTCTCGGAAATCAAAGTATTCAAGTAGCATGCCCTCCACAACTAAGACACTGATGCCTACGGAAACAGAACACTAGCCATAGATTTAACAAAACAAGCTATTAAACTGCCCATACTACGCAACAAACGTGTCACCAAAATAAGCACTTTAATTTGCGAATTGCCGGGGTTTTTAAAAAAAATGGAGTTCGTAAAGTAAAACAAGGCTCGCAAGCTTGCATGTGTAATCAAAAACCAGAAATATTTATAACAAGGATACCCTGTTGCGGTGCAAATAGCACAAAAAATTCCTACCACAATTTTAAAAAATTTAAGGTCTGTTTAGAGGACCTAAACAAAAGCCTTGCCGTTAGGTTTATTCAATTTCATAGAAAATTAGGCAAAATCGACAACATCATTCTTCAAAGAAAATGAATGGAAAACAAAAATAATTAAAAACATTCGAATGACTAAAAAAGCTCTGAAAAGAAAAAAAAAACAAAAGCCTATTATACTGAAGTAATAACAAAATAGTGATGCTGAAATAAAAGCTTACACTTCAAACAAAAATTTCAAGCCGGTTTCTCTCGGGAAAACTTGTCGGGCTTTAATATAATATATCACTCAATTGATTCCTATGACTATTTGTGGCACCTGATTTTGCGTGGAGAAAAAGTTCAACAAAAGCTAAAACACACCCGAAGACAAAATTCTGATATAAAAAGTTGAAACTGAGAAAAATTTTGAATACCATCGCAGCAAAAAATATAATTGAAACTGATAAATTGTTTCATCAAAACTCGGTTAACCCAGTTTTGTAAGTAATTGAACAATTAGTACTCAATATAATATTTTTAAAAAAGCAATAAAACGGCCACTGTTTTCGCTCTCAATAATATGCAAGATTCGACACAAAAAATTTGTAAAACAAAAAAAAACAATCACAACCTCGATAAAATTCATTACTCTATACGTATGCCATTGTAACAAGTGCCGTACAACCAAACAAAAATAGGCAGCCATGCCGATACAAACAACGCAGAAAACCATTTCGCCTAAAGAAAACAGCACAGAAAATTTTATTGTTTATCTTTTTTGCTGCTCAAATCCTTCATAACCCATATACTTTCATCACGCATAAACAGGTCTCTGACGTTTCAAGCAAACCCGAGCCAAGCAGTACCTAACAATACAAATCATAACAGGAAAATGCTGCATCCGACTATAAAACTAACTGTCTCACGGTCAATCAAAGGCTTAAATCAGTTCCACACGCAACGAACGCCTGCAATTACATTAGAAAAAAATCGTCAAACTGATTATGTATATCTACAAAAAACCAAGATATTTAATTAAACTTTCTAAACGGAAGCTAGTTTGCGCTTTATTGAAGTTAAAAATAGCAGCTTATTTTTACAAAAAAAAACATAGAAAAAAGGTGTATTATTCAAAAAAATTTTCTTAAATAATTTTTTTGCTCCAAAAACTTAATTCTCATTTTTGCAACTGACAAACCAAAAAAAGTTACATTCATTGCGGTCATTCGATGATAACAAAAACACAAGACTGCTCGTATCAGGGCGAAGCCCTGAATGTTCCGACTGCTTTTGAAGGTTTATGGAGCAGCAGTAATAACATACAAACATTATATGAAAAAAAAATGAATTTTTTTTTTCTAAAATTTGAAATTTTTTATGAAAATCATCCCCCCACACGCCATATAAAGTACAAAAAGATCGTTTTCGTTCCTTGTAACACGTCATTTATGGCAAATAAGCTTCGATCAACCAATTTGGAACGATTTATAAGACGGATTAAATCTCCGCTTACGCGTTAATAGCGCGAATTATATCGCGCGTTAATTGTCCCAAATTGGTCAAAATGGCAATCTTTAAACCCTCATAACTTTACGAAAAACGATCACAGGTGAAATATCTTTTCAAATTTAAGCTTAGGTCAACAATACCTTTTGAATGATATTAAAAAATTCTGTGAAAAATGGCTAGTTAAAAAGTCGAAATTTGTCTGAAGAAAAAAAAACCCACCCCGAGCACAAATATTCCGTTACTTTCGTATCGAAAGTCAGAACAATAAGTAACATCAAATTCGTGGGTATGCTGCTGAAATATATAAGGCCTGGTAAATTTATGACAACCACTCAAATTTTCATTTTTAACTGTGTTCCAACAACTCTAGAAAAACTGGAAAGGAACTATGGCGTAGCATGATTACGTTCCAGTCGATATAAGGTTCCTCAAAGACAGCACAACACGTACGAGTGTTTCGGTCATAAATCGGATTCTTTAACAAAATTGTCAAGTCGCACTGAATTTTTCCGTTTTGCTGGGTGTACTGACACTCAATGACTGAAATTCCAAACTATCTGCGAGGTTATTGCAGCTCTATTATTTTTCAAGCTTATAAATTGATTATCATCTGTAGCAAACTAACACAATCAAAAATGGTTTATTCAGATTTGCTTCTAACTTTTTTAAGTCTTCACAAAAACAATACAAATCGTATATCTGAAATTTCCGACTGCCCCCTGAAGTCTAAAATTTCAAAATTAAAAATATACCCCGCAGGCTATGTAAACTATGAAGTTGTAGAATTCGCTTCAAGCAACATCGTAAAAATTCTATATAGCTTGCTTCGAATCATTTTTTTTTACCAGATTAAACCACCTTTCACGCTTTACTAGAACAAAAATCGCGCGCTACTGGTCCCAATTTATCGAATGTTGAAATTTTCAAACCAACATAAAATTTAAAATATCACAAGAAAAACCATTTTTAAAATTGAGCTCAGATCAAAACCTTGAGATGGTATAAGAACTACTTTCAAAATGTTTAGCTGCAAAGCTGAAATTTGTCTGAAGAAAAACAAACACAGAGCACAAGTATTCCATCCATTCTTCGAAAGTCGGAACAATAATCGCGATTAGAACACGTTGTACTACTTGCTCGAAAAACGAAAGACAAAAAATCGAAAACTTGAAACCAGTTTTTATCGACACCAGAACTTTTTTTTTCGGAATATTTTAAAATAGTTCAAAACATTACTCAAAAGGAGGTTTTAGTATGATTTATCACTCAACTCAGTCCGATAATTTTTTCTAACTGATTTTGCGTGGAAAACAAGAAAATCAAAAACCAAAACAAACCCGAATTTCCTCCCCATTTTCAATGGTTAGATCAACAAGGATAATCGGCAGCTGCGCAAGCAGTACGTGTTCTGATCGCGATTATTGTTCCGACTTTCAAAGAAATAATCATCGGACTGAGTTGAGTGATACATCATACTAGAACCTTTTGAGTATTGATTTGAACTATTTTAAAATATTCCGAAAAAAGTTTCTAGTGTCGAGAAACTGGTTTGAAATTTTTGATTTTTTGTCTTTCTATTTTCGAGCGATCGAACAAGCAGGTTTATTTTTTTCAACCCAAAGCATTTACCATAAATAATCATCGGAATAGGTGGAGAAATATATCCTATTAAAACCCTTTCAGCACGCACTGATTCGAGCGACATCAGAAATTTTTCAAAAGTAATTTTTTCAAGAAAAAACCGGTGTGAAATTTTGAATTTGTCTAATTTCGAGCAATAAAAGCTAGCCAGCAGGCTTGTTTTTGAAAGATAGGCCATGAAACTTTAGTTTAATTCCAGTAACTTTAGTTTTAACGCCATCTTTGAATAAAAAATTTTCAAAATTTCGGCAAAAAAAAACTAAAAGCACCAAAATTTTAGAATTTTTTTTGTCTAAAACCTTTACTCAATTAGCTTATTTTACGTACTGTGCCTTAATTTTTGCCAGAAGCTCAAAACTGATTGGTCATTTTTACTTTCGGGAAAAGAATATAATATGACTAAACAAATCAGACTTATAAAGCTATTCCAATTTCTGAGCTTTTAAGATACGAAGCCTGATTTGTTTAGTGATCTTATATTCCCGAAAAGAAAAATAAGCAATCAGCTTTGAGCTTCAATTAATCTATTGTTTCGGGTAAGTTAAGGTTTGGGTAAGTTAAGATTCCGGTAAGTTGAGAAAAATCTTACCTGAGAACAGTCCTGAAAACTAAACCAAAAAAACGTGTCACGTGTGACCGCTACTAACATTAGGTACAAAAATCACTTTTTATTTCAAAATTCGCTGTCTTTGGAGATTAAACTTTACTGTTGGTTTGTACCTTGGGCTTTTGCCAACATAATTATACAAAAAACTATCTTTCATTTTATTTTTAAGCATATGATACAATTTAGATCAAACTCAACAGTCAATAATCAATACACATATACAATTACAGGAACCACATGGATCTCGTCCACAGTGTAATCAGAGGCGCGTTATTAGCTGAAATTTTAGCACCGTGAATGGCAATTTGGATAAATTTGGTGGTTTATTCGGAGAGATTAAAACATTCAAATAACATCTTGAAGACGGGTCTATGTAGATGATAAAGGTTTTTGTTTTACAAAACCAGTAATCACATTTTAAAAACTGAATCGCATTCTGAATCACATGGAATAATAGTTACAGACAAGCCAAATCAAAGAATATTTGCATTTATTAGAAGCTCAATTTTATCTTTGTCCGGATGTAAACTCACTTTACATATTCATTGACAAAAAAAAGCTTTTGCATTTTAATGCTAATAGCAAAAATTTCAAAAAGGACTAAAAGCCAATGTTGACAAGCTTTTTAAATGCATCGAATGTCGAATTTGATCGAGCCAGTTTTTCTATCTCTTTACAACCAAAAATTTTAAACACACCCAAATTTCTTTTCTTTTGTTTCAATATCATCACCCGAGAGCCGAAAAACCGAACAAAAAACAAACCAAAAATTGGCCATTAACAATGTAGTTTCTATCATTTACGTAATAATTATCCATAAATTTTATAACTTCCTGTCATTTTCGGCTAGTGGGTTTTTATGTTATCTGGTTTACAATTCAGCTGGCGTACATATACTACCTATCTGAATTGTGTCCGGACATTTGTGTCTCAGACAAAATTGCCCAAAATATTCTCCTATCCAAAAGATATGTGACCCAGACTCTTATCCATGATGGGAATGAAGTGACCAATTCTCTTTGCTGATGTCAGAATAGAACAGAGTCTATCAATCTCCAGGCGTATGGCTTCGGCCTCAGAAGGTATCCCTCCGAGGGATGTGTATTCCAATACAGACTGGAGTATAACATATTGTTCTCTCGAATCAGTCGCTCGTTGGATACAACCAATTCACTTGGCATAATATCAGCACCATTTGAAGCATCCGAATCGGCATTTGAATTTGCCTGGGTACAGTGGTGATAAATTTTATTTCTTCATTTTAATAATTCCAAAATTACAACACGAACTCACATTTTGCTCCAAAATTAATTGAGTAAGTATGTCTCAGAAAACTTCATAACCAGTTAAGAGGGACTTAAAAAGATTTAGGAGGAGGAGGAGAGGATTCGGCCCAGTCACTGAGAGATTCGGTGCTATTTCAACTTTGAATTCATTCTTAAGGTACATAAAAGCCCTTTGATGCCAAAACCTTCCAAAAAATTCCAAATACGACCATAATGGTGTTTCGTGAAAGCTTGGAAAAATAAATGGATTATTCTACAAAAAATGTTGAAAAACCAGTTATTCTTATTTTCAATATCTGCCTGCTTTATTGATTAAATCTTAGATCTCTTTGCGAAAACCCTTGATGGTTTGTTTGGTGGCTGTCATAAAAATTTTAAACGGAAATCATCACCGACCGCCTTGATGTAGCCGAGTTTGGCTAGCATGCTTGAGTAGTGTTCGTACTTGAGAAAATTAGAGTTGACGGAGAATGTGTCGTTCCTGATGAGACTCCCCCACCGTCTATATGAGAACATGTTGATTGGTCTCATCAATTTGTCAACTTCTTCCAAATCCCTGACAAACGACAGAAAAGATAGTCGCTAAACCAAAAACAAAATTTCTGCCCAAAATTTTCCTAGTAAAAACGCTCTTCATCATTGAAAACTTCGTCACAACTCTAAATTGCTAACGCTTGGTAACCCGTTTGAGCAAAAAAACCTAGCTGACAAAAATCGAACAACTTTTTCTCGGCAGAAATATTTATCAATAATAGTCGGAGCATCCGAATTACGATTGAAATGGCTTCAACACGATACCACACTCGACCAAATGCTTTGAAAAAAAAAACAGCGTCATGTCATATCTCTTCCCTACTTGCTTCGCTTTCGATGTTGATAATTTTTTCAGCGCAATACTAACCAGTAAAATCATGCTGGTCACTATTTTCTGAAAAAATACAATTAGCACAGAATGTTCCGACCGTAGTCTTAAAAAATATAAGTTTTTTCTGCGTGGCGTGATAAAAAGATCTTAACGAAAAAAGAATTCAGGCACAATCGACAATCTTAGTAAAACAGGCCATTTGGAAAAAACACATTTTGTAGAAAAATGACTAATAAAACAAAAAACGTTGAAAAAATCCAAAAATTGTCGTTTTTGAATTTTGAAGAATTTTATTGCCGAATTGGCCCTAAAAAACTAACTTTAATCGAGTATAAATACATTTTCACGGCTCAATATAGGCCTAAATAGGCCATTGTAAGACTGTACGCTCACCTAACTGGCTCGAACTGGATTTTCTCGACACAGAAAAATTTTTCAAAATTTTTTATGTTCGACTCACGACCGGAAGGGCTTTAAATTGATATACCACACAACCCAGTCTGATGATTATTTCTGGTACCTGATTTTGGTACTCGAATAAAAGGTCATCATTTTTCAAATGGTCAGAACAATAACCTTCATAGCATAATTTAAAATCAACTCAAAATAAAAAAAATAACAATCAGAATGTGAATTCATTTCAGCAACATCAAGGGTAAATTTATATTTTTTGAAAGTTTTTTTGATGAAAATGTTTGTATTTGGCTTATTGGCCTTTGAGCCAAAAAAACGGGTGTGATCAACAGTGCCGAAACTGCTCTTCAGTCCTTCAAAAAAAATCCCTCGAGCGCATTTATCGGGTTGTTTTTTCTATCTCTCACAAAGTTACATGAGAAAAATCAAAGAACTGTGTCTCAAAGTGAAGTAAAAAATAAATCACGATTTAGCAATGGCCTTAATAATGAAAAAAAGTAAAGACTTTTGAAGAAAAAAGACCGGCGAGTCCTATGATATGATTGCTCAGGAAATCAGAATGTATGACAAACTGTTTAGAAACCAAAAAAAACTGAAAAAAGTGACGAATTGCGTCTATACTTCGGCTCTATCTATATAAAAGATTGTTGCCCAACCTTGAAGTTTTATTCCCAACCTCCCTTTGGAACCAGCGGCCATAAATTCACCAAGAAAAAGTACCGCTGATTAAATGAAAAATTCCGAAACATTATGTTCGTTGACGAAACCAAAACTGATCTGCATTTTTTCAGAGTTAAATCTAGCTTGTGTTAAACCAGTGTAAACCGTCTTATTTTTGTTTATTTTATTTGTATTTTAAAATACAAACTTAAATCGTTCTTAACTTTTGTTCAGCTTTTTTTGAAAAAACGTTTCCTTGCAGACTCCCGGAAGACGTACTTAACGCAAGAACTTGACTCGTGCACTAGAAATTCAATCCCGGGAACATCGCCCTTTTTTCGGGATGCTAGGTTGGGACATGGGGCTTTTTGAATGTGCCAACACATCAAAAAAACTGAACAAAGCGATCGTGTTAAGTTAAAGCTCGAGAATGATTCTAAAATTGAACGATTTTTAGTTTTTTCGCATTAGTGGGACCTTTTTTAAATTTCTGTACCGGTGGAAAATGTCTGAAAAATTACGCCATTTTTAGTCAAAGAAGGTTTAATTAATTGCGGTCCTTTGAAGTTCGTTGAAAGATTGCTCATTTTTGGTTCGAATCATGTTAAGAATCCGAAATATTGGCAAGGTCATTTCTAATCATAACTAACACAAATTAAGTAGCGCGAAATGGTTACCTCTAAAGGTTCAAAATTTTCTTGCTTTTTCTTTGATGCTTACAGAAATCCCCTTTGAAGGAAGTTCTCTTTTCATTTTGTATTAAAGCGGGGTTAAGTTACAGAAGTAATTTTAAAATGAAGTGGTTTTAACTTGATAAGGCAACAAAGGGTAGGGAGAGAAATTGTATGGAGTTAGGTTGTTTAGAGTTTAAAAAAGGTGGGAACCCCGTTTTCGTCTTATCAACTTCGATCGATTGAACTAATTTACAGCAATTTTTGGCACTGTTGCACAACTTGATATTCGGCACAGTTGCACTTCGGCACTATTGTACTGGCCCAAAACTATATATTTTTGTACAAAAACTTTCAGAAAATATAAAACTAACCCCTCAAAAGACAATGATGCATCCAGCATCATTCAACAACGGAAGTCATGAAGCCTCTACTAGAAAATATACTTCCAAAAAATTATAGACCAAATAATGACTTTTATAGAGCTGTCTATAAAAATACACCAAGGGCCAGCCTGTTTGAAAGAAGCATTCAACTTCGTACCAGAAAAATAATCATTATGTTCATGCAGACCATTGAAAACTCACGGATAAAGCTTCAGTGATTTCCCTATAATTTCATGATGATGAAGCCAAGTCGTCTCCCAAGACAGACCAATAAAAGAAGCCACCTCTTTCAACACTTTCTCTGGGTCAGAAACCAGCTCCTCGTAAAACACTTTAAGACAACCTGAAACTGGTGCAGATTTTGAAATATTATCGCACAGCTTCAATTGGTTCTCAACGTCTATATTCCAAGTACGAAATACAGACGAGAAATTATGTCTGCGCACTTGTTCATCTTCGCCTGATCCGAACGCGCTGCGAAGAGCAACTGCTCGTCCGTCGCGAATAACCAACAGCAATTTCACCTGAAACGCACATACAGAAATAAGGCGCATTTAGAAGTATAAGTATTTTGATGCAAAGGAAGTTGTTTAAGGCCTAAAGAAATAACTTTTTTGTCGATTTTTTGCTGTAGGTATGCAAAAGCCTGACAAACATCTTGAAAGTATAAATTCATCGACAAAAGAATTACGATTTTCCAAAGCTAGTAATCTTTCAGAAGCAAGACAATTTTTTCATCCAGAAAAACCCTCCCAAACCCCGCCTAGAAATTATTATGACCGAAATATTTAGACCATCTCTCGAAATAATGCTTTCCAGCTCGAATCTAAACTGAAAATACTATAACTTGATATCAAAAAAATAAAATCTACGAACTTGCTTCAATATATCTTGAAACTTCTCAAAAAATCACCCTACATCACATTTTCTTTACATTTAGTGAAACGGTAGGTACAACAAATGATTTTCAAACTTCCATTGCAGTATCATTGAAAAAAAAAATTGACCAAAAAAATCTGCACAGACAAAACGGAGCTTCACATCACGTGCGAAACAACACAAATTCAGCATTGCAAGCTAACAGACAGAAAATCAGACGCAAACCAGCAACAAGAATTTTTTTCTAAAAAATTCAAAAACTACATCAACAAAAACGTTTCGAATGATATTTAATTACAGGAAACCATGCCAATAGACAAGTAACTTAGCAAAAACAGTTGGTAATTATACAAATTACAGATTGACTATCAATTATAGTGAACACTGCTTACATAAAAAAAAATGCTTACGGGAAAATCGAAGAAAACCAAAGTCCGATCGGGACTTGAACTCGAGACCTTGTTACGAAGGCGCGTGCTTTACCTCTAGACTTAGCGAGAAGGGGCTTGATATATGCAGAGGTTCTACAAATTTCTTGCAGATTTAAGAAAAGTCGTGCCAGATGGAAAAGTCTTAGTGCCTTTGCCTCGCATAAAAAAGCTTATCTTCCTAGCTATATGCTCCACTATAGTACCTTAAAAGGAATTGACTCCCTATAAAGAACAGTTAAGCAGATACTCATTTTATACCTTGTAGTCAACAAGATCAAAAAAAGCTGTCAGAAAAAAACTCAAAATCAATCATGGTAAATTTACAAAGTAGTGAAGTTTCAGTTATAGGAAAACTGTTTAAATTGGAAAAAAACCCATTCTTTAAAAAGTAAACCAATAAAAACCCTACCAGATAAAAATTGCGTTTAAAAAAACGGAAAATGAACCGACAGAAACTAGGACGAAAACCAGACACCTGAAAAAAACTGAGAAATGTTTTTGAAAAGATAATTACAACCTGAAACGAGCTTGAACTAATTACTAGCAAGTGATAATACTTTTAATTGAATTTTCAAGAAATTGAGCATGTCAGATGAAAAGTCCTCTAGAAGTGAAGATCTTGTGGACAAAAGTGTTTACGTGAAAAAAAAAGTCTAGTAACCGATTGCAATACCCTTGCATATTGCAAAGGTAAATATCTACACGTAAATATATTATATTTTAACGGTTAAGCATTTGCAATTTTTTTTCTTAATAAAGATTCCGCCTTTGCAATGGGTGGATGGGATAAAGAAAAGAGATGATCTGGTTAATTATCCCCCCCCTATTTCGAAATTCAGAAATTAAACTTTGACTGCCACATTTTTAATAGCTGAAAACAGTTTTCAGAAAATGTAATTAATTAAAATTTTTTATGTAGGTATTATATAAATAGTGCGTAATAGAAATACGAACGCGCGAATATGAAAACCCAAATATATTTTGACATTTTTGAAAAGCATGCTTTATAAAGAAATGGTTGTCAAAAATAATACATGCATAGGGGGGATAGTTAACAAGGTCCAAAAGGGGGAAAATAGTTAACAAGATCCAAAGAGGTGCTAGGTAAATTAGACGACAGGACATTATGACGACGGTGCTAGTTTACTTGTTTGGTCCCGTGACAAAACTAGTTTAGATGATTGGTCCCGCCTATTTTCTAAAACGAAGAGCAAGCACGGGTTTTCAGCCTACGCCTTGGGATTGGCAAGCGGATTCTTAAATATCTACACGTAAATATATTATATTTTAACGGTTAAGCATTTGCAATTTTTTTTCTTAATAAAGATTCCGCCTTTGCAATGGGTGGATGGGATACAGAAAAGAGATGATCTGGTTAATTATCCCCCCCTATTTCGAATTTCAGAAATTAAGCTTTGACTGCCACATTTTTAATAGCTGAAAACAGTTTTCAGAAAATGTAATTAATTAAAATTTTTTATGTAGGTATTATATAAATAGTGCGTAATAGAAATACGAACGCGCGAATATGAAAACCCAAATATATTTTGACATTTTTGAAAAGCATGCTTTATAAAGAAATGGTTGTCAAAAATAATACATGCATAGGGGGGATAGTTAACAAGGTCCAAAAGGGGGAAAATAGTTAACAAGATCCAAAGAGGTGCTAGGTAAATTAGACGACAGGACATTATGACGATGGTGCTAGTTTACTTGTTTGGTCCCGTGACAAAACTAGTTTAGATGATTGGTCACGCCTATTTTCTAAAACGAAGAGCAAGCACGGGTTTTCAGCCTACGCCTTGGGATTGGCAAGCGGATTCGTAAATATCTACACGTAAATATATTATATTTTAACGGTTAAGCATTTGCAATTTTTTTTTTCTTAATAAAGATTCCGCCTTTGCAATGGGTGGATGGGATACAGAAAAGAGATGATCTGGTTAATTATCCCCCCCCCCCCCCCCCTATTTCGAATTTCAGAAATTAAACTTTGACTGCCACATTTTTAATAGCTGAAAACAGTTTTCAGAAAATGTAATTAATTAAAATTTTTTATGTAGGTATTATATAAATAGTGCGTAATAGAAATACGAACGCGCGAATATGAAAACCCAAATATATTTTGACATTTTTGAAAAGCATGCTTTATAAAGAAATGGTTGTCAAAAATAATACATGCATAGGGGGGATAGTTAACAAGGTCCAAAAGGGGGAAAATAGTTAACAAGATCCAAAGAGGTGCTAGGTAAATTAGACGACAGGACATTATGACGACGGTGCTAGTTTACTTGTTTGGTCCCGTGACAAAACTAGTTTAGATGATTGGTCCCGCCTATTTTCTAAAACGAAGAGCAAGCACGGGTTTTCAGCCTACGCCTTGGGATTGGCAAGCGGATTCGTACCCGCTAGACTAACAAGACCCGTTTCGACAGCAATATAGAAAAAAAGCTTACTGTGAGAATTAGCCACATAACGTACCTCGGTTTTTATTAGGGACCACAGCATTTTTGGGGGACCAATTAATTAAACTAGAACCATGACAACATGACTTAAAGACGACAGTGAATTCCCATAGCTCCCAATATTCAAAGCTCCCAACGCGACTGCTTTTTATTTTGGGACCTATGATACTGATTTTTCATTTTAACCCCTATGAATACGCAACAAGACGACAAATGAGCGCCAATAAAATTATAATGAACTGTTCGAATTTAAACGGTTTTATATTTCTGAGAAAAAGAATCGGAGAATTGCGAGTAGCGTCGTCTTAAAATCCCATCAAAAACGGCTGTTGTCTTAATAGCAGTCGTCTTAATTACCGGACACGAGTAAAAGAAACACAACATACGTTAAAAGATATTAGCTTGTCAGGAGTAGCTAGATTGAAGTGTGACAATGAAGAAACGAGATCGTAGTCTGTCCAGCATTTGATGCCACTCTGCAACAGCATCGTCCTTCTCAGAGCCCCGAAGGCAGACTGGATCACATCTCGGGTGTATCCGCCCATTTCCAGCCTTTTTGATTCTACTGGGCGTGCGGCGGCAAATTCATGCTTCCCCAGTAGCTACATAAAACACGGACAGCCGGTTACTGTGCAAGTAGCACAAAATGTTCCGACCGAAGTCTTAAAAAATTACAACAAAAAAGTTCTTTTAAGTTGGCGTCGTTTTTTTTGGTGCGATTAAAGGAGCTGAACGAAAAACTTCGAGATTAGGCATATATGACGGTCATAGTAGAATAAAACAATTGAAAAATAATTTCAGTAGAAAAATGACTAGAAAAACGAAAAAGCAAAAAAAAATTCATTTAAGTTTTTGATTCCAAAAAGGCGCTAAAATACCCAAAAAACTAACGGTAATCGAGTAAAACTAAGTCTTAACGTTATAAATTGAGCGATTGCAAGCTTTTGAGCCATTAAAACAAGCGATTGTAAGCGTTGCTTTATTCGCTTGAATTAAGATGAAAAACCAAAAAAATTTCAACTGATTTTTCTCGACACTAGGAAACTTTTTTTGGAATTTTTAATGTCGTTCGAATCACGACTGCAAAGGCTTTAATATGATATATCACTCTACTCTCTCCGATGATTAATTATGGAAGCTGATTCTGTGTGTACAACAAAAAAGAGAAAAAAAAACTAAAACACCCGATTACAAAGTTCCTCCCTATTTTTCAAATGCTCGGAACAAGCATATCCGGTTGCTGTCCATTCAGAACAGATTGTTTCAATTACGCTGTATTAAGAAAATAAAGTAAAGATTGTCTTTTTTACACAGAGGCGAAGCTGTGCTTCGCAAACACTAGCCAGAACAAGTCAATAAAGCAGCTTTATAAGGTGAAATAGGAAAAACAGAAACAAGCATCGATTCTTTAAATTTTGCTAGATATTGGCTTCGAACCTGAGAATTAGAGTTTCACGCCCTGCCACGAATGCTTTACAATAAACAACCACTCACACACTTATTATATTGAAAATTATTACTTGCAAAATTGAGTCTATTTGTATTCGGTGCCACTTTTGATGCATCGCATCGGCAATTTATTAGCATATGAAGGTAACAAACTGACGGCATCCACACTAACTTTGCATGCAACAAATCGCAAAGCATAAAGCCACATTATGTATAAATTATGGATTTCAAAAAATTGAGAGATATTTTGAGTTAGAAAAATTCTGAAATCGAGTATTGTTGTTGTTTTAAACAAATAGCTTTTTCGGTTAATTTGATTAACTTAAAATGCATCAACTGTGCCAACTTTTTACTATTAGAATAACAAAACACATGCTATGAAAAAGCCGTCAAGGTGCCCCAAAAGTGCCAACATATTTGCGACATTGGTTAGGAAAAAAAGAATAGTCGTAGTATAATACTAAGCTCACTAAAGTTAGCTAGTGTAAGCATAGACAAACAATAGGATTTAATTTAAACCAATAGGTCGGAATAACGACCAACAGGGCTTAAATTTGAGACCACCATTGACTCCCTACGAGCTTACCTTGAGGTGTCAAAACTGACTAGAAAAAATATAAAAACTGACCCTACACCATGGTTGCTTCCCCTTCTTCGAGAAAACTCAGAACAAAAAAATACTGCTTGTATCGCCAAGTACCCTCAATGCTTTGACTGGTACAATGAAAATTTCATGTGCTGCCTAAAAAGTTGCACTGGTATAGTCTTGAAACGTAAGCCAACCGAAAGTTTGAAAAACTGCCAGTAAGCTCAAAGCAACAGAAAAAAAAAAGGTTTTTAATGAGCCTTTCAAGATTTGATTTTATCCAAGAACAATAATTACCCTTGCGATAAGCAAAGGTATTGCAACCGCTTCCAGACTTTTTTCCCGTAAACAACTTTGTTCACAGGACTCTCCTCCTGGATCCGGGACTCACTCAAATACTTACTTTATTATAAATTTCAATCAACCACCTGGTGCATGTTGCGCAGAGATAACACACATGGCTGAGACGGCAAAGGCTTTCGATTCGAATCTGGCCGGGACCTGTTTTTTTTCCAAACTTTTTTGTGCTTTAACGGACTATCGTCCGTCAGCTTATTTTTGTCAGCTTAATTCCAGTTTCCTAGCGCGCTTTTTTGTAGGTTCAGCTTTCTTCTAAGTTGCTTTAACACCCACGCTAGACGACAAAGCCCAAAAGTTGGACTCCAGACAGAATCTGTTTTTGCCAGCTGAAAATTTTTGGCTATTTAAGATTTTTGTCTGTTGGCTTATTTTTGCTGGCTTCGTTCCTACAGAACGACTTCTTTGAAAGTTCGACTTATTTCTAGCTTTTAGAAAGCTCCATGTAAAATTTCTAATGGTGCAGGAAATTAAAATCGCGATAGTTTTTCTTTGCAATTTTTATATCTTTTAAGACAAAACATTACCCGAAACAGTTTGGCCTATGTGTATCAACTTGAACCTCTTTTATTTTTAAGAATCTTTTATAATACACATTTCTATCATTAAAAACCAGCCCAACCTACGAAACCGAGGTCCATAAGCTTTTTATTATACCACTGGGAATTATACCGCTGGTTTAAAATCCATTGATGAAATTAGAACCCAATGTTGAAATTAAAGCGCTTTTCACGCCATTTGCGCTGAACTTTGGAGAGTTCAAATTAATTAAACGGCGGCTAATAAGAAATCAAACCGCCTAAATACAAGATCGGCTTTTTGAAAAAACGGACCCAATATCAAAAAAACTACACTTCACTCATCAGTACTTAATAATTGACTATCACTCACTTAAAAACTACTATAAATGTAATCAAAGGTTTCACTATGTTGTGCATGGACAGTCAGTTCCTATTTCAGTCCTTTTTCAATTTATACACGTCATGGTGTGGATCTGTCTAAGAAGCTTGACTTTACCATGTGCATGAACTGCAGATTGGGACAGTTGAGCTGTGAGTGTGAGTCCAAGAGAACTCTCATCAAATGAACACCGCTGCCCTTGAATCCAGTCAGCATAACTACAGTCTACACGAACATTACATCCGACCAGTGAAGCGAGAGTTTTTTCTACGACTGTTTCACAAAAATCAACAGGCAAAAAAATCAATAAAACTGAAAACAACTTTTGAAAAATAATTTCAGTCCCACTTTTTTCGAGCTATACTGAATGCCACTTGTTGAGAATTTACCATTTTCACTATATTTTTAAAAGGTACTGATGCTAAATGCGTGATTTTACAATGTAAAGTATGTTCAAGTAAAAGCTGTTCAGAAGTGTCAATTAATTCCCCATGAAAAGTTTCGTTATTGACAAGATCAATTTTCAAAATTAAAATTAAGTAGTGGGGAAAGTTTTGTTATACCTCATGCTATATTTTTTTCTAAACAAATCAGAAACTCGGCAGAGATATTTGCGAATTAGGACATGAAAACACGCGTCGCCTTCATAATTCGATAATCTTTTTTACTCATGCTTCTCTAGAAAAACGAAAATTTCACTGTCTTGGTATACTCATACTGATCCCCGAAAAAATCTCGATTCCAGCTTTCCTGTATTCAAATAGACTACTGTGCAGTTCAACTCGCATCACTGGTAGTTTGTCAGTAGATTTCGAAATGTTGTAACTTCTACGGAAGAAGTGAAACCAGCCCGAGTTTTGTTCAGACGCTGGCGCATTTCTACAGTTGTTATCAACGAACAAGTAATGCAGAAGTGTTAGTTGCAGTACCACCACTAAACACACGGGCGGCACACTCGTCCAATCCAGCTTCAGAAATCTATTTCCATGATGAGCATTGTAACTTTTTGAACAAAAATTTTAACGACACCTGACTTGAATTTTATTCAACTTTGTTGATAACCAGGGGCGGATCTACAAATCTTTCTGGGGAGGGGGAGGGTGAGATTTGAGAACTTGGTCCCAACTTGTTTTTAGATTGACCAATATTCATTCCAGGACGACCAAAATAACAAATCATACTCGCAGCCCCGAAATTGGTAAATATTGGCACCAAACCGCCTTTAGAAAAACTTCAGGGTCAAACACCTGAGGGGGAGGGGGAGCGGCATTCAACCCTTGTAAATACACACTGTTGATCATAACATAAATTATATCAAAAACCTATCAAAATTAAGACAAAACAAAGGCAATTTTTCTTTACTAATTTGGCAATATTTATAACGAAAATTACTAGCAAGCGATAATTTGCTACTTTTGAACATAAATTGGCAATATTTATTTATTTATGAAAATTACTAGCAAGCGATAATTTGCTACTAATGAGCAACTTCATCATATGTGGTTGACAATGTCAAATCAAACTAATTCAAAATCGAAATTGTTAAATGCTCATCACTAGCCTAATCGGTCCACCTTTTCTAGACCCAAACATCTGCGATCGACTCGTCTCCCATTTTCCTAACGACTCCATAGACGATCCCAATGTATCTATAGCACTCAATACGACACAAACGTCAATGTCCAAATGTCCACCACAAAAATTGTGAGGATAATCACCTCCCGGAAACGCTTTTATCGGAGGTCAAAGCCCGACTAGCCAAAAAAGTACGCATAAGTCGCACATTGCGTTTAAACAAAGCAACCTGAAACATGAATTTCATTTCAATTGAGCTTTCATTATTTTTCAGCTGTCACAGACTTAGCAGTTCATTTAAACTATTTTTGGCAAAACTTTCACTTGTTGCACTATGGAAATTTTGAACGGAATGCGAAAGCTGACACTAAAAACAACGCATTAGTGCTAGGAGTTAAATTTAATTTCCTACTTCTTAAAGATAAAAATAATAAAAGCGAAATTATGCTACGTTTCCATCTTGTTCTTATAAAAAATGAGACTAATTAATCATTAATTTATAATTTCTACAAACGCAGATTCAAAACAAATTAACTTAACATGGCAAGCAACTTCAACATTTTAAGCCTAGCTTTCAACTGAAAAAAAAACATCATATCAATATATCAATCGTATACGTCTACTGGAATGTTTGCCACCCCCTCAAACTTGACACCCTAATTATAGCTCTTAGGCTATTACTAAATTGTACCATAAAATATAATGGACCTTTTTGGTATCGAAATCGGTAGCTGGGCTGGCGATTGAAAACTGTGCTGCAAATATATCCAACAGAGGGGGGATTATTACTGAAAAAAAAAAACGATTACACCTTCCGACCTCATGCGTATGAAAATTTTTCAGTTGGATTTCCGAATAAACACAACACAACAGATTGATCCGTAATAAAAATTGATCCGTATCAAATATAAAATGAGCACTTGGAATGAGATCTGGCGACAAAATAAATTAAATGGAAAAGATAGTACATCAAAACACAACACTCATCTATCAACGTCTTAAACATTCTCAAGCAGAAACAGAACAGAAGAATACTGGCATGTTTCAATACATTTTGCTCCCAGAGTTCTGGTTGGAAACTATCCTACTTATTGTAAAAGCAGGAACCCAAACTCACAAATAAGCATTAACATGGGTTGGGTGATAAATCATTTATAATCCGTCTTAGTCGTGCGTCGAGATCGATGTTTAAAAAATGTCATAAAAATTCACCGAGAACGCGCGTTTCTCCAGAAAAGCCTATGAAAATTCGTCATTTTTTGCAAAATTACAGCGAATAAAGAAAACAAGTCAATTTTCAATTCCCAAAAAGTTCAATGCGAGTTTCAGTTATTACGATAAGATGCAAATATCTTGTTAGTCTTGTCTTTTTTTGTTGGAAATAAATTCTGATTTATCTCGGTCCTTCTGAGGTCCGTTCGATACTGATTTATCCAGAATTACTATTCTTATTTTTTTTGTTGGAAATAAATTCTGATTTATCTCGGTCCTTCTGAGGTCCGTTCGATACTGATTTAACCAGAATTACAATTCTTGTTTTTTTTATTGGAAATAAATTCTGATTTATCTCGGTCCTTCTGAGGTCCGTTCGATACCGATTTATCCTGAATTACAATTCTTGTTTTTTTTTGTTGGAAATCAATTCTGATTAATCTCGGTCCTTCTGACGTCCGTTCGCTACTGATTTATCCAGAATTACAACTCTTGTTTTTTTTGCTGGAAATAAATTCTGATTTATATCGGTCCTTCTGAGGTCCGTTCGATACTGATTTATCCAGAATTACAATTCTTGTTTTTTTTTGTTGGAAATAAATTCTGATTTATCTCGGTCCTTCTGAGGTCCGTTCGATACTGATTTATCCTGAATTGCAATCCTTGTTTTTTTTTTGGAAATAAATTCTGATTTATCTCGGTCCTTCTGAGGTCCGTTCGATACTGATTTATCCAGAGTTAAAATTCTTGTTTTTTTGTTGGAAATAAATTCTGATTTATCTCGGTCCTTCTGAGGTCCGTTCGATACTGATTTATCCAGAATTACAATTCTTGTTTTTTTTTGTTGGAAATAAATTCTGATTTATCTCGCTCCTTCTGAGGTCCGTTCGATACTGATTATCCAGAATTACAACTGTTTTTTTTTTGTTGGAAATAAATTCTGATTTATCTCGGTCCTTCTGAGGTCCGTTCGATATTGATTTATCCAAAATTACAATTCTTGATTTTTTGTTGGAAATAAATTCTGATTTATCTCGGTCCTTCTGAGATCCGTTCGATACTGATTTATCCTGAATTACAATTCTTGTTTTTTTTGTTGGAAATAAATTGTGATTTATCTCGGTCCTTCTGAGGTCCGTTCGATACTGATTTATCCAGAATTACAATTCTTGTTTGTTTGTTGGAAATTAATTCTGATTTATCTCGGTTCTTCTGAGGTCCGTTCGATACTGATTCATCCTGGATTACAATTCTTGTTTTTTTTTGTTGGAAATAAATTCTGATTTATCTCTGTCCTTCTGAGGTCCGTTCGATACTGATTTATCCTGAATTACAATTCTTGTTTTTTTTTTGTTGGAAATAAATTCTGATTTATCTCGGTCCTTCTGAGGTCCGTTCGATACTGATTATCCAGAATTACAATTCTTGTTTTTTTTTGCTGGAAATAAATTCTGATTTATCTCGGTCCTTCTGAGGTCCGTTCGATACTGATTTATCCAGAATTACAATTCTTGTTTTTTTGTTGAAATAAATTCTGATTTATCTCGGTCCTTCTGAGGTCCGTTCGATACTGATTTATCCTGAATTACAATTCTTGTTTTTTTGTTGGAAATAAATTCTGATTAATCTCGGTCCTTCTGAAGTCCGTTCGATACTGATTGATCCAGAATTACAATTCTTGTTTTTTTTTGCTGGAAATAAATTCTGATTTATCTCGGTCCTTCTGAGGTCCGTTCGATACTGATTTATCCAGAGTTAAAATTCTTGTTTTTTTTGTTGGAAATAAATTCTGATTTATCTCGGTCCTTCTGAGGTCCGTTCGATACTGATTTATCCAGAAATACAATTCTTGTTTTTTTTTTGCTGGAAATAAATTCTGATTTATCTCGGTCCTTCTGAGGTCCGTTCGATACTGATTTATCCAAAATTACAATTCTTGTTTTTTTTGTTGGAAATAAATTCTGATTTATCTCGGTCCTTCTGAGGTCCGTTCGATACTGATTTATCCTGAATTACAATTCTTGTTTTTTTTTTGAAAATAAATTCTGATTTATCTCGGTCCTTCTGAGGTCCGTTCGATACTGATTTATCCAGAGTTAAAATTCTTGTTTTTTTTGTTGGAAATAAGTTCTGATTTATCTCGGTCCTTCTGAGGTCCGTTCGATACTGATTTATCCAGAATTATAATTCTTGTTTTTTTTTGCTGGAAATAAATTCTGATCTATCTCGGTCCTTCTGAGGTCCGTTCGATACTGATTTATCCAGAATTACAATTCTTGATTTTTTTGTTGGAAATAAATTCTGATTAATCTCGGTCCTTCTGAAGTCCGTTCGATACTGATTTATCCAGAACTACAATTCTTGTTTTTTTTTGCTGGAAATAAATTCTGATTTATCTCGGTCCTTCTGAGGTCCGTTAGATACTAATTTATCCAGAATTACAATTCTTGTTTTTTTTGTTGGAAATAAATTCTGATTTATCTCGGTCCTTCTGAGGTCCGTTCGATACTGATTTATCCTGAATTACAATTCTTGTTTTTTTTTGGAAATAAATTCCGATTTATCTCGGTCCTTCTGAGGTCCGTTCGATACTGATTTATCCAGAGTTAAAATTCTTGTTTTTTTTTGTTGGAAATAAATTCTGATTTATCTCGGTCCTTCTGAGGTCCGTTCGATACTGATTTATCCTGAATTACAATTCTTGTTTTTTTTGTTGGAAATAAATTCTGATTTATCTCGGTCCTTCTGAGGTCCGTTCGATACTGATTTATCCAGAATTACAATTCTTGTTTTTTTTGTTGGAAATAAATTCTGATTTATCTCGGTCCTTCTGAGGTCCGTTCGATACTGATTTATCCTGAATTACAATTCTTGTTTTTTTTTGAAAATAAATTCTGATTTATCTCGGTCCTTCTGAGGTCCGTTCGATACTGATTTATCCAGAGTTATAATTCTTGTTTTTTTGTTGGAAATAAATTCTGATTTATCTCGGTCCTTCTGAGGTCCGTTCGATACTGATTTATCCTGAATTACAATTCTTGTTTTTTTTGTTGGAAAAATTTTTTGATTTATCTCGGTCCTTCTGAGGTCCGTTCGATACTGATTTATCAAGAATTACAATTCTTGTTTTTTTTGTTGGAAATAAATTCTGATTTATCTCGGTCCTTCTGAGGTCCGTTCGATACTGATTTATCCTGAATTACAATTCTTGTTGGAAATAACTTCTGATTTATCTCGGTCCTTCTGAGGTCCGTTCGATACTGATTTATCCAGAATTACAATTCTTGTTTTTTTGTTGGAAATAAATTCTGATTTATCTCGGTCCTTCTGAGGTCCATTCGATACTGATTTATCCTGAATTACAATTCTTGTTTTTTTGTTGGAAATAAATTCTGATTCATCTCGGTCCTTCTGAGGTCCGTTCGATACTGATTTATGCCGCGAGAATTACAATTCTGATTTTAAGCGAATGAGTATTTATTTGGTAGCTAAGTAAAATGGTGGTGGTGTTTTTCAACCAATCAGCGCTTTTGAGAGGTTATTGTTCGACCACTGAAACTGAGGGAAATTTGGTATTCGGTCATTTTTTGGATTTTTCTTTTCTGTTTTCTACGCAAATTCAGTTACCATAAGGAATCATCGTAATTGGTCGAGTTTTATATCGTTTCAAAACCCTTTCATTCGTGATCAGAACAAATAAAAAAATAAAAAAATTATTCCAAGCTCGATAAAAAGCGGTATAAAATTTCAATGGAAAAAGTGTGCATGAGAAGCTTTAGTTTTTCTCCAACAAAAAAACTGTTGTCCAATTAGCCTATATTACTATGAAAGTCGAATATGCGTAAGCTCGGAATCCAGTTTCAGCATTCAGATGCCCGTTCTGTCATCCTGCCCTCACTGACAAAAATGGATAAGGATCGATTTTAGTATGAAAAAAGTGTGTTGATTAAATTTAGATAGATTTTAATATAAAAAAAAACACGAAGATTAAATAAAAAAGATGAAGATTGATT